TGCCGGTAACGACAAAAACTGCGGGGAACTCTGCAAAAAACGCATCTTCGCACGGGCAGCCCGTGCATTGACCATTTATTTTTTACTTTCCTGGCATCTGCACTGAATATGAAGTTTTCTTTCAAACCCCTGTTTGAGGAGGAAGTTGGATATAGCGGAACGACATTAAGGTTTTTTCGACATACAAAAAATCCGTTTTATACATGAAAAATCGTCGAAAAATCTGAATAAAAAGACTTTAGTTTTGGGATTTTTGGATAAGTTCAAGCAGCTAGTTGCTGGTATATGCCAGGAAAGTCAAATCCGCCATCAGCTTGCATCTGAGCATCTTTCGAAAGAGGGAGCCATCTTGCCAACGAGTGGTTGATATTGGCATAATATCACTCGGAATAGATTATAATTTCGATGATTCTGTTTGTTTATACGGAAAGGGTTTTGACTTTGATATATCTTGAGATATAACTTCAAGCGCATGAAAGAATTACGTTTTTTTTTTAAATTTATTCTGTTTTTAGTATAATAATTACAAAATAATTCAGCTTCTACTTATTTTGCCAGGGAAATTTCTCGGAAGAAAAAAATCTCTTGATTTTTCCTCTCAAAAATTTCTCGATTTTTACTAAAGAAATCTCTCTAAAGCAAAAAAAAAAAACCTCTCTATTTTTCTAAGTGGCACCCACAGATCTGCATTGTTGCATAAGGTATATTTTTGTAGGTAACAAGTACTTGTGGTCATGTAATGTGTGCGGATTTTCCTCCAAATATGAATAACTGGGAACGAGTTGATCCGTTGCAGTTATTTACATCACCGATCGAGAAGAAGGAAGCAAATCCGAAGATGAAAATGAATGAGGTTCGTAAATTTTCCTGGCTTCATTTTAGGCAAAATTCAGATTCGAAGCAAACGGCTGAATTTTTGGTCATTTTTTGGTGATTTTTTGTCATTTTTGGTCATTCCCTCATCAACAGTTTGACTTAATTACATTTAGCATGTTTCATATTCCCACTTTCGAAGGCTACTTTTAGGCAATCTTAGGATGAAAAATTCGTTCTGTGATAGACAGAAATAGCAACTGAGATGATTGAAATTAATGGAGAAATTCCAGGGAGTTTTTGATTTCTTCACTGACAAAGTCGAATTCGGGACATTTCTTACCAATTACAAATATTTTGTAATATTCCCCTTCCCCCTTTTCTCACTTCGTTCTCCTTCTCTTCTTTTTCCTTCTCCTCATTTTTTACCTTACCGTTAAAGCCACAAAACCAGCGCTTATTTGCCAGTGTCCCGCGCTTCCAGCAAAAAATATCCGGTATTTTGGCTC